AATTTTATCATGGGCCCATGGTCCACTGGCCCATATCATATGGGATATTATGCACGTCCATTCCCTCATATTATACGGAGATAGGTCACTGTAATATGTGTGCAATTTGCATTTGCCTGGCCATATTCAGTGGGGCTTCTTTGTGTTTTCACCACTTGCAATTCATAGGTGACAGTAGGAATATATTTGCTGCTATAGCATGGGCCCACCTGTAAATACAATGTGCTTCAATCCAGACATCTGTGAGTCCACTCCAATGCTTCGAAGATGTGACCATGGGGCCTACCCCTATTCATTGGGTATACAGCACCCACAGGCCCACACGAAGGCATCAACATACAATTATAAAGTGGGCCCATGGTGGGTTGGCCCATGTCATTTGGAAGAAATGTCAAGGTGGGCTGGACAGTAAGTAAGGAGATGTGTCACTGTATTATGTGGCAAAGTGGCATTTCATGCCTGCAACTTGGGGAGGGCTACCAAGGGCACCAGGAGGCGCATAATGAGTGCCAGTGGAGGGCGTAATGGCAACATGTGGTAAGGGACCTATAGTGGGAGGAGGCATCGTAGAGACTAATATCTCTGTGGCCTTGTAGAGATCTAATTCCCCAACATCCCAATCATCTTCCTAATATAGTGCGACTCATATCTCATCTCAGCGCACTTGGCACTCCATCAGCTGCTTGCACACACAAGCACTTCGGTTGTGCATCCTCAGTTTCATCGCTCATCCTCCATCTATCCATTCCATGTCTGTTCGGTGTAGAGACTCACATGTCTCAATGCTGAATATACAGCCCTTTACCCACATAATCCCCTATATGTTCCAGCTCTTATCCATAGGATCAGTCTTGCACACACTCACACATGCATCTTACTTGCACTCATGCCTCATGTGCAAAGTGTGCATGTTCATGTGCCTCACCCTAGGTCTTTGCACTTCTGTCTGTCCATCTATCCTACGTCCTTGCTGATTTACTAGTGCATTATTCTTATCAATCTCATTGAATTGACATATCCTTGGTTCGATTTCTGCACTTACATACAGAACACCTATCTTAGGCTTTAGAATATATTTAGTGTTGATATAGTTACTCAGTTCAGTACCACACTCGGATGCGCCACATAGTGTAATTCTTGGGTGCAATTCCCCTTCTTAAAAGGAGGGAGGGTTCTTTAGGACTAGTTTTTTTTACCTTTTCCCCTTATCTCAGTATACTGCAAAGTGTATAGTCCACCTAAGTGTTAGAAATCTGATTATACTTCTCTATTGACTATCACCCACACTTCCACTATTTCTTGAAGACTCTTTCCCTTATCGCTCAAAGCATGCCTCCACTTATGTGTGCACACCCCTCACACCTCTTACTCACGCATGCATCTTACATGCCATCGTGTGCGTTATCTTCTCATGCCTACTAGTGCCAGTTTAGTTGACAGAGTTTCCCTCCATTTTATTAGCGAGGAACTTCTCTCAGTAGCTGTCCTTTGGGTCAGTTGTATTCTTGTATCCAGGTCTTGGTGTAGAGTCCCCATGTTTTCACCTATAGTCAAGATTCCAAAGCACTGTATTCTCAGATGAAGACAAAATGGACCTGATAGACTATCTTGGCATCAATAAGAGGGAGGTTGTAAAATACCTGAACATGGATGAAAAGCTCAGATTGGTGTGGGTGCAGAGATATCTTCTTAACATTTGCTGTGCTAGTAGTATGTAAATATATTCAATGTCTTTGATGTCTCAATCTATGTTACACTGTATGAGCTGAACCAATCTTCACCAAGTGATCAGAGATAAAGAGAATCAGGATGATCAACAGTTGGTCCGCAGGCCCTTCAAACCAATCTTCACCAAGCAATCAGAGATATAGAGAATCAGAATGATCAACAGTCGGTCCGCAGGCACTTCTCTTCGCTGGCAAGCAATCAGAGATATAGGGAATCAGGATGATCAACAGTCAGTCCGCAGGCCCTTTGATCTCAAAGTTGTGGAAGAGCTAATTGGCACAAAAAAGGTCAAGGGTCTCATATGTATTGGCTACATGCGCAACAGTCAGAATGATGGCAGGGCGACTGTAGATTAAGCTCATAAACCTGGTAACGGCTGTCCGCACTGAATGCACTCAGCACAGTAGTCCTCCCACATCGCCTGTGTGATAGCATCATGACGCTGATCTGCACGCCATCTCTTAACAGCATCAGCAGGTCCATCTCCAAGCTCCCCATGAGCCACTCCATCCTCTTCATCGTCCATAATGTGGTTGTTCTCATTGTATTCATCTTGATTGAGTATGTCGCAGTCAGGGTCATGCCTCTGAATAAAATTGTGCAGGGCACACAAAGCTGCTGGGACTTGTGCTTGAACATTCATGTTATACTCTAGCGGCAGTTTCAAAATTCACCATTGGTGCTTCATCACCCCAAAAATTTGTTCCACTACGTTGCACAGTCTTGCATGCCAGAGGTTGAATAACTCTTTGGGATTCTGAGGCCTTACAAAAAAACACACTGGTCAAGCAAAGCTACAAGAATGAAAACATTAGAACATACCTGAGGTTAGCCTGCTGCCATTCCTTGAGATGATAGCGCACACTGCAATATGGAACAAGTAGTTCATCACACGACCCAAAGCCAGCATCTGCAAGAAAATATTTTCCAGGGGGGATGCGCAATTCATTGGTGTGTACATCATTCCAGAGAGCCACATCAGCGACAGAGCCATCCCACCCACAAAGTGAGTAAATGAAGAAGAAGTCAATGTCGCACATGAACAGACAGTTTTGAGATAAATACCCTTTGCGGTTCCGCATGAAAGGCTGGTCTTCGATTGTTGTGAACGCGCGGATGTGAGAGCCGTCAACAGCGCCAAGGCACTGATCAAAGAATCGAATGTGGGCATTGTTTAAGATCGTGGGAGAGATGGGAGTGTTGTGCTTAGGGAACTGGACCTGCGAGGAGTAAAATGGAGATGTCGACAAGAACATTAACATGCACTTGAAGTATCTAGGGACATAAGCTTGATCTCAGATGAATAATGATACAATACTAATCATCTACTTACCATGAGACCATATCAGACGAACATTGGAATCTTTCTCTGATGTGGTGAGTCGAGAGTCCTGTGATGCATGTATACAAAAATATGGCAAGCTGTTCCTCGACCAAGACTCCATTGCGCGACCTTATAAGCCCGTTGGCTTGTAACACCTGCAACAGATCATTGAAAACATTGAGGTTTACACTGAGATAATGCTTGATGCATTCAGGGTGACCAAGCATAAGCTCTAACACCCATGCTTCACCAGTTAAAGCTGATGTGTGATAGGGTATGCGCTCTAAGTCTAATTTCTGTCATATCTGCTGACTGACATTAAATACTTAAGTATACACAAGCACCTGCCATTGTACATTACTAGAAACTCTGTCTGTTTATCTTCCGGCTCATTAAGAGTCACTTTGCTCCACCATCCGCATGCGCACCATCACACTTTGTCACTCAGTAGTGCTTCACATCGCTTGCACTTCGCTCATCATTGTGCACCTTACCAGGCTTGACTAAGTGCCCAGTTCAGTGTTTCCTTCCTTTTATATACTTAGAGGAACCTTCTCAGTAGCAATCCCCTTGGGCTGACATTAGCTCGCACACAGAGGACTGCTTGAGTACATTCCATACCACCCATTTACCTACACTACACATCCCTTATCTACAGTGTGTCATTAGCGCTAGTGAACAGTGTAGTGCTGAAATGTGTGGGAGAGGGTGAAGCACCAAAGGATGTGGAGAGACTCTGAGGATCTGATATATGCACTTGGGTCTTCCTACTGCTGTGAAAAATAGGATCTGATGTATGCACTTGGGTCTTCCCATCACTGTGAAGGATATAACTTATCATAGTTGTCAATGATACCAAGTGAAGGGTGGAGGAGTGACTTGCTGATAAAGATAAGGCATTGTTGGTCAGGTGGGATGTGTGTGGGACCTGGGTTAAAATAGATTTCCTGTAAGATAAGGGTGAATGTAAGCTACAACTTGACACACCGAAACACTTCTTAGCCACCTACCAAGTGGCACCCCGACAAGGACCCCAGAACAAAAACAGTCAACATCACACCCAATGGCACCAGCACCAGCACTGACCCCTCCCCTCCTCATAACTCCTTCCCTCTTATATAAATGTAAACTAGCTTTACTTTTAAGAACTCATACAAAAACAACACAAAAAGAGAAAACAAAAACAAAAACAAGATGCCAGCGAATGAAATAGATGATCCTGCCCCTCTGTGGATCAGCCCAAGGAACAAAGAAAACATGCTACTTAGACTGACCAATAGATCAATTCCAGAACTAATAAACAACCCAGTGACCCCATCAAAAGTAACAGATGCCAAAACAGCAAGAGCCGAACTAGTCAGCAAAGGGATGCTCATTTCAGCAGCAGGAGCCACCATAGAAGACCTAATAAACACACTATTCAAATTCACAATCAACACCCTAGGAGTAACACAGCTTCAAAGAGACATACTAAGAGCAATCACAATACTTCTAGGACAGGCTGACCATGAACAGAAAGTGAAGAAGATAGCGGAAACTACCTCCTTCCACATGGTCAGAGCCATCAAACAACTCAAAAGGCTGCTGACTCTCACAATGGAAAAATAAAGGCTCTTGACAGTTTTGTAAATGAGGCATGTGACTCACTCAATGGTGCTATGGCGAGACTGAAGAAAGCGATTGAAAACACATGCACAAATGTGGACAAGAATGTGACTGCTGAATGAGCAGCACAAAGTGGAGAGCAAGGGAGATCATATGTGAAAGTCACACAGGCAAGACTACCCAAACCTGACTCTAGTACCCTAGCACAAAGCGAAGCCTAGGCAAAACAAATCCTGGTAGACTGTAAATCAATGAGCGAAACTTCAGGTCTAAAGGACCTACCTATCTGAAGCAGAACTCATCAGAAGGGCAAACAAAGCCTTACAAGAGATGAAAGCGGAGAGGAGCAGATGTCCCACAAGAGGCTTTCTTCATGAGCATAAGGAAACTCTGTCACAGGGAAGTCATCTTTGAAGTTGACAGTATTGATACCAAAGCCTGGATCTCATACCAGAGCAATAGCAAATCTTTCAGCAAAAACTTCAGGAACGAAACGATCATCAAAGACAGGACCTTCCAACTAATAGCAGAGTATGTCTTGACGATATTCAACCTGGACTCATCCACATCACTTGCAGAAACAGAGAAAAGCAACACACTCTGCCCTGGATTACTCACCAAAGCAAAATAGATCAAACCCCTTACGCACTGCAACCTGAACCAACAAACTGCCTTCTGCACCCTATCATGCAAGGACCATGAGAGCGCCAACCTCGCCATACGACTTGGACTCACAATTGAAGGTTGCAAGACCACAGTCCACAAGATATTGTCTGAAATGTCAACAACTTACTAGCGACCACATGGCCAGGACCTGTTGTCAGACAACTAACACCTGTGGAACCTACAGACTGGATCACCAAACATCAGAATGTGACTTTGGAGTGGCAGATCCCCAACACTGCTACTGCATCAATTACAGCATGCAAGGACATGCAGCTTGGAGCAGGGATTGCCTCACCTTCAAAAAGCAAAGCAACAAGATGCATGGGAAGTCAGAGAAAGCTTGGTACAAGTACTTCCCAACAGAGAGTGACCCAGACTTTTGGGAATCCTCGGCGGAGGCAACCCCAACTCAACTTAACCCCCAGCATTCAACTGTTGGCACCAGAACACTACTTACGAGGCAGAATATGGCAGAGCAAGAACCCAATCCCATAACCAGGAGTGGACAAGAGTTGAGCATAATAGGGGTAAGTTGAGACCTTAGCCGCAGATACACACATGCGACCAAGGATGGCCAAACCAAAGAGAACCCACTCAACCTTCTTAACAAGAATGAGCAAGACAAGTAAGGATCACAGACCTCTTCCAGATGCAAATCAATACTGCCAATGCCGGCCTTTCGAGGACACAAAACAGCAGCCCCCCACCTGGCCAACCCAAAGGAACCAAGACCCCACCAACATGACCTATGCCACCCCCTCCAACACCAACTTGACAGAATAACACATCAATCCCAGGAAGCTTCTCACCTAAATCCACCTCATGAATAGTCATACCAATGATAATGAACCCGCTCACACTAACCTTAGAATATGGCAACAAAACCTCTACATGGTGCAGGCTGCCCATGAACATATGTTATGCAACCTCTGACTGGAACAGTGCAACATAGCAATAATCCAAGAACCATACCTGAACCCAGTGAACCTCACACTGAGCTCCTCCCATTGGGACATAATCTACCCAACCATGCATGGGGACATGAGAGTGGAACACACTAACTCCATCATACTAGTCAACAAAAAGATATCAAAAAACACACGGAAAATTATATCCTTCAAAAGCAGCAATGTAGCCACCATAGAACTCAAAGGTAACTTTGGTAGGATCTCAATCTTCAATGTATATAATTCATGGAGGCATATGAGAATGCTCAAAGTGCTTGAGAAGCACATAGACAATGTAAACAAGACAAACAACCTCCTTGACAGTGTGATATGGATGGGGGACTTCAATTGTCACAATCCAATGTGGGATGATACTACTAACAACCATTTATTCACAGGACCCAACCTACAGCGCTCAGCCACCCTCATAAACCTCCTCGCAAAGTACAGCATGTGCATGGCCCTAGCAGGAGGCATAGCGACTCTAGAAGCCTTGAACACCAAAAACCGAACACGCCCAGATAATGTATTTTTCAGCATGGACCTACTGAACACCTTCATCAATTGCAATGTAGAGGAAGAACTTCGACCAGTGTCAGCAGACCACTTCCCATTCATCAGTATCCTTGACTTTACCCCAGAACAATCTGCCCCAAAGCCCCACTGTAATTACAGAGCCACCGATTGGGAAGAATTTCAAGAAGAACTCAAATAGCAACTCAATATCATCCCTCCACCAAATGAGATCCTAACGGTAGAGTAGTTTCACACTAGACTCCATCTCCTCCAAACTGCGATACTAACAGCCATAGAAAAGAAAGTCCTCCATGAGCAAGCCATCTCCACATGTCAAACCCTGGTGGTCCCCAGATCTTAATAGCACCAATTGTGCCCTGAAGAAGTTAGTGAGAAAAGCCAAAAAGAAACATCAGACACCTGATCACCTGATATATGAAGAACATTGCAGAGCCAGGAATGACTTCTCTGAGATGCAGAAGAAAATGAATGAGGAGCATTGGAAGGAATACCTGGAAAGTGTAGACAAAGGTAACATATGGGATGTACATGACTTTCTAACTGACTCGCCAATGGACCACATGAGATCACATATCCTGTTAAGAACGTGCTCAAGGGTTGAATCCGAAGGGCTTGGCTTCAGCTTGTGTCCTGTGCCCCTTACCTGAGTACATGCCCCTAACTTCTGAAGGCTAGTGGATGATATCCAATGTGTGGGAATTCTGGCGGATGTTTGAGAACAAGTGATAAGACTAATGTGGATGATGTCTGAACTAGAAAGGAAACAGTGGAGGACTACCAGAGGTAGAGGCAGAGGTGACAAGTCTATAGGAGTTGATCCTAAGACTATTGGAGGATGACGAGAGGAGAAACTCAAGTCAGACGGAGGAGGGAATAAGCAGAGTCTAAGATAATATTCAAACTGAGGAAGTACAAAGAATCTACAGGGTTTATAGGACATAATGGAGAATCAGTCAGCGCAGTGCAAGGCTATATGAGGCTATGGACGGAGCATGTGGAAAGCCTAACACTAGTGTATTGGAACTTAATTAAATGAAGATGGAAATGAAGGAGGTATGGAAATTAAGTACAGCCGGTTTTAGGTATAACTGGATAACTATAAACAGGGGCTAACTGAGAAGGGACGTACAGAAGGGAAAAGATATGGAAGATAGAAGTGGGTCAGATCTGGAAGTCTGGAAATATTTGTGTGATAGGTCCAGGTCCAGGATGCAGGATATGACACATCCCGACCCTACAAGAGCGACCAAATGCACAGCCAGCAGAAGACAACACAGAGAAGAGCAAGCTCCTGTATAAGACTTTCTTCTGAGAACCCCCCACTAACAACTTTGTAGATCCAGGCTTCAAATACCCAGAACCCATATACGAATTCAACAATATCACTAACACACAAATCAACAGAGCAATCAAGAAACTCTTAGCATTCAAGGCACCAGGACCAAACAGCATCAGCAACTCTATATTCGTCAAGGTGAAAGAACTCTTGACACCACAGCTAGGTCCCATTTTCAGAGCGACCTTCACACTAAAAGTATACCCAGAGCATTGGAAGCAATGCGCAACAATAGTCCTATGCAAACCAGGCCGCTCTAACTATGCCCTCCCCAAATCATACAGACCGATCACACTCCTAGACACTATGGCCAAGATCCTGTCATTGTGTGTTACAGAGGACCTAGTATGGATAGCAGAAGAATACAACCTCCTCCTGACAACTCATTTTGGAGGAAGACCAGGGCATTCAATGGTTGACTCGCTACACCTCTTAACTAAGTTCATGATAAATGCATGGGCTCACTCTACTGACTGATATGTCTCTATGCTATTCCTAGACATCAAAGCTGCATTCTCCAGTGTAGTAGTGGAACACGCACTACACAATATGCGAAAATGGCGAATCCCACTTGAATACATTGAATGGTACCAAAGACGTCTGAAAAACCGCACCACAACTCTCAACTTTGATGACTACAAATCAGAAAAGTTCAATGTAGAGAATGGCATGGACCAAGGATGCCCTCTATCAGTCATTATTTTCATATTCTACAACACTGACCTACTTGACATAGTAGATGCAAATGAAGAAACCCTATCACTAGGGTTCATTGATGATATTTTGAGCTAATCCTAGTAATTAAAAGCAAGTATATACACTATGTTAAAGATATATGAACATGTTGTATTATTAATGCAAGGGCAGAGCCATAGGAAACATCAAAAACATCAAAAATGTGTTTTTATTCTTGTAGAAGAATCCTATAGATTTCCTGTAATACCTATATAATAGATATACTCTAAATATGCATAGGAATAGACCCCACACTCTCATTAAGGTCCAGTCCTCCAGGAAATTTTTTTCCAGGGGGTAAACCACTAGGAGAAGGTGGGCACACTACATCACAGGAACTTGTCCTATCTTCCTGAGCTCCTGATACATTGTTGCTACTGTTGAATAGATGCTGGGGACAATTTATTCAAGTCAATATAGCTAGAAACCAAAAAATGTGAACCTATTTTATGTTTTCCTATATAAATGCTGTATCTATTGATGTAGGGCACTTCAAGGGGTCAAATACATGGTGGAATATCTTCATATACACTGCTAAACATGTTCTGAATACCCTAGAGCACTCCACCATCAAAGGGACAAAAATGCAAAAACAGTTTGTATGTTATTCTATTTTAAAATAGCCCTGTAGGAGGAACTGAGATATCAATAGATCAAAAAAGCAGTCTATTATGTTTTATTATATATATACTACCTAAACTACTACTTATCTACAAAGGGGGAATTATTGTGCTGTAGTGGTGAAGCAGGAATGTGCTGGGGAGGGTGTGGGAATATTTGGTATTGTGAAGGTGACCAAATTGAGCAATGTTTTGGGTGTTGTGGGAAAGTTCCCACACTCTAAAAATGCGAACCAAATTAAGTGCTATGAGGAAATTCCCACAGTAGGTAGCTGAAAATGTGAAAATCAATTCAGGTATTGTAAAGTTCCCACAGTAAGGGGCTGAAACTGCGAAATAGGCAAATGAGCCAACCAAGGAACCTGTCAAATGATTTGTGGCATGTACCATGAAATTAGGCCAAACCTTACAACCAGGGGTGCCCAAAGATGTTGTATGCAGTAGATGTATGGGGAGCAGGGCTAGTCAAGAAGGGGAAGAGGAAAAAGAACAAGGGCAGGAGAGTAAGAGGATTCACCTCGAAAATAGTGAGGGTATAGAGAATGGCCATGATCCTGATAACAGGAGGGATGCAAACGACAGTGACAGACATACTAGATATACATGCCAACCTCCTCCCATTCCAGCAGCTTCTATGGAAAGTCTGCTGCCACACAATGCTATGCATGGCCACACTTCCATCCACTCTACACAGGACTGTGGAAGGCCATCCACCAATGCAAATGACACAGAACACCAGTGCACAAGCTACTCCATGAATTTGGCATAGACCCTAGAGCAATAGAAAAGGTGGATGCAGTCCGCCATAACCCACAATGGGAGCCAGACACAGTAATCGAGATTGCACTATCAAAGGAAGAGGCATCCCTAGCAGATGAAGCAGCAATGGTTCTAACAAGAGAGGGAAGAGACCTAAAGATCCTACACTTCCATCTAGGAACATCAACCAAGCACACAGTCTACAAAGCAGAGATAGTAGGAATGATCCTAGGGGCAGAGCTACTATGAAGAGAACTGGGCAACCATTCAGTGGTGATAAGAGTTGACAACCAAGCAGCAATCTTAGTGATGCAATCCTTCTTAACTAATTCCAGCCACTATCTCATGGACATGATCCACAAGACCCTAGAATGCATGCTAATCAAATGCAACGAGAACAACCTAACAATCAGATAGACACTGGGACACAGAGATAGAAGGGAACGAACTCGCAGACACAGAAGCGAAGAAAGCCGCAGGAGGACACTCTAGCGCACCTCCCCTACTCCTAAACTGCCTTCACAAGCACAGCTGTAACAAACCTACCACTGTGATGTCACTCCCACACAGCAAATTGGTGCTGAAACAACAGTACTACAACCAGCTGAAGAATGAAGGCAGAACCATAATGTTAGACTCACCACGCTACCTGCTACTCAAGAAGATTGATGATGGAACACCTTCAAACCGCTTTTAGAAACTTATCGCAGGTCTACCGCAAAACCAAGCCAGCCTCCTGATGCAGTTGAGAACCATGCCCCACTCAATAAACACCTTCACTACATCAGGAGCACAGATTCACCACTATTCCCAGCATGTGAAAGGAGAGAGGAAATGGTACACCACTTCTTGAGGGCCTGCCTCACATACCACTGACCTATACCAAACTGGTTTGGTGCATGGACTACTAGTACTCTCCCATGAGTCTTATACCCAGAATACCACTATGAAACCCTTTTCCTTTTATCTGAAGTTGGACTGAGGCTAAGGGAATATTTTTCACCTTTCTTTTTATTTTTTAAGTTTATATGCAAGCAGCCTGAATATTTTAGTACATTTAGTTCTGCAATGAGTTTTGCTTAGTCAGCCATGGTGATGACTCAGACAAAATCCCATGCATGTTAGGTGACCGTGAAAAATATTTTCCACATATGTTGTCCTAGAAAGACATTAGTAAAACCTTAAATACTAGGCTCACATCATTTTCACCCATCAAACAAAGCAAAGAAAAGACAGACACACAAAGGATCCACATCATGTGACATTTTTACTCTCTTTCTGGACTTGTCATCAGGAGTTGGATAGCTCACATGACTAGCAACAAGCCAGGATGACTTAGCAAAATACCTAATAACTCATTATGACTCACTATGACTAGAAATAACTTTGAACTGACTCATTATGACTCTTGATGACTCTTGAATATACTAGTAGCACAGCCACATTTATTGTGTATATAATGACCCCAGTTTTGAAATAATATGTAGCAGATAGTAAGTCGGTGTTTTTCATCTCATCTAACACTAAGTTGTGAGTAAGGTATGATAAGTGTCAGTACCAGTGTCAAGAACTGTTTCAAGACAGAGGAACATTCTCAAGAGACAGTAAATACTGCAAGCTCATCATACCAAATGATCAGCTGTGAGCTCACTGTGTGCAACAACTAGCAAGCAAGGTACAGCCACAGTTATATTCAAATTTCAAATTTCTTTTTCTTTTGTTTTACTTTTACTAACCTTTGGTGTTCTTCTTCCAAAAATATATTCCAGAATATTCATGTTGTCTCTACGTCCACCTAAGACTCAGAGTAGCTTAGTGGGGAGACTTTAGGAATTGATAGTGAAGTTTGACCTTACTCATCTGAGTAGTGATACTGAGCCAAGGTTTTCTTTGCCTGCTAGGCTTTAGCTGTTAAAGAGGGGACTTAGTAGTAAATTCAAGGATGTCCATTCCTGAGTCTGTTTGAATACTCAAAGTGAGTTCCTTGACAGCAGGTTCAATATTGAGCTAAGAGTTCTACAACAAAGCATTTAACCTTTGATTCTACCTGTTTTGTGCTGAGAGGGTTAATCATTGTAATTCTGCACCATTCTTTTTGGAGTATAGTTATACGAGGCACTGTTGTTAAAGGGGAACTTGAGAAAGAGTCCTATATATTCTTTTGGTCATTGCCATACTGTCAGGCTGACCATTGTATTTACTAATCTTACAGAAGTACCTTTAACTGAACATACCTTGGGTAGTATACAACAAGCCACCTACAAATGACCACATTATCAGTCATTAGTATTTGTCTGAATCACTGACCATGGGAGTATCTGGTTTTATAGGTGTTTATCTATAGATCATCTATCTAAGAAGACACCGCATACAGCGGGATACCCTGCGAAGAGCAATCCCCAATCGAGCCTTTCACATCCAATGCCTGTTAAGCAAAGACAAATACATCTCAGACCTATTCAAGTACATTGCAGCAACCAGACAACTAGAACACATGTTTGGCAATATCACCAATGACAACTAAAAGGAACTAAGCCAACTCGTTCCCAGCGTACAGTCAGACCTGCATCATTTGTGCACACCTCTGAGATCCCAAACAGATACATACATACCCCCACCCCTGTTAGCCTTAGGTTGGCTTCTGATGCTCCAACACCTTAAACCCCAGTATGTGGTGCGAGCCAATGGTCTATAATTATACCAATGTTAGTATGCAAACCAGAATATAGTAGCACATAGTATGTACTGTTGACATCGGGCATTGCCCTCAGCAGACAATAAAATGGATCTTTTTTAAAAAGCTACAACTTGCAATAAGCACAAAAGTCACTTACTTTGGGTGGATGGCACCTGGAAACTTGAATTATGTCCTGCTCAGTGCTGCAGGTGAGCATCAAGGATGTAAAGTCAATGACAGCACAAACATGCTCAGTGTAAGACAGAACTTCAGAATTTTCCAAAATTTCAAACTCTGATGCAAAGTGTGTCACATGTGCATAAAATAGATAGGAGTTTTGATCCCCTTGACTCCTGCCCTACTGAAACTATGCCTTGTCCATCTGCATGCCAAGAACTTCTTGATATCATTGATCAGGCTACACTTTCATTGGCCAAGCTACAGTACCAGGATATCCTGGACAATTGGTCCAACCTTGAGAGCAATTCTGACTCTGACTATGAGGACTCACTTTCTAGCACTTTGGATGATGATGATACCATTAGTCTATCCTTTAGTTCCTCATCCCCCCCTCCCCCCTCTCTCCTATGATAGGGACATCCAATTTTTCCAGTGATGATTCTGTACTGCCTTACGACAGGCTCCAAGACATCATTGCTGCACTTTGTGATAAGGTTAAGAGGGCTTGTATACTTTATAAGTGTTAAGAATGTGCTCAAGGGTCAAATATAAAGGGCTTGGCTTCAGCTCATGCACTGCGCCCCTTACCCGAGTATGTGCTCCTAACTTCCAAAGGCTGGTGGACAATGTCTGGAGTCTGATGTCCGATGCATGGGAATTCCGGTGGACGTTTGGAAACAAGTGATAAGACTAATCTGGACGATGTCTGAACTAGAAAGGAAACAGCGGAGGACTACCAGAGGTAGAGGCAGAGGTAACAAGTCTATAGGAGTCGATCCTAAGACTATTGGAGGATGATGAGAGGAGAAACTTAAGTTGGACAGAGGAGGGAATGAGCAGAGTCTAAGATAATATTCAAACTGAGGAAGTACAAAGAATCTACAGGGTTTATATACTACTGAAGACATAACAAAGAATCAGTTAGCACAGTGCAAGGCTATGTGAGGCTATGGATGGAGCATATGGAACACCTTAAACTAGTCTATTGGAACTCAATTAAATGAAGACAGAAATGAAGAAGGGACAGAAATTAAGTATAGTCGGTTATAGGTATAACCAAATATCCAGAATAGGGGCTAACTGAGAAAGGACATAAAAAAGGGAAAAAAAATATGGAAGATAGAAGTGGGTCAGATCTGGAAGTCTGGAGATGAATACATGAAACTCATCATCACAAGGAAGATGGAACATATGACAGCTCTCTCAAGTGGGCTCATGAAGAGGGAGAAGATTTTTTTGTTTAGGAGCTTAAGGATCCAGATGGTGATGAGGTCATTGGTGATAGGACATATGATGGAACTCTAAGTCAGGCTGCTTGTGCAAAGCTGATGGATAACCTCTTTAATAGTCCTCACTCAAATGCACAACATAGGGCTGAATAATTCCTCTCAGATTCAATTTGACATGTACTACCACAAATAAATATATACTATACATGTGTGTAGCTATGTAACATCAATCACAAGAAGTACTTACAATGACAAGCAAAACATGGCAACAACAAATGAAAGACAACAATGACAACAAATGAACAAAACACAATGCCAGACTTACAAAGCTCAATCCAACCCTGGGGCTTTATTGTCCTGTATCATCTGGTGGTATTGGATCTTGAGCCGCAGGGTTTCGGCCTCATTAAGTGTAAGCAAATATGCTCCGTGCACCTATATATCCATTTTATAAAGGCAATTTTTGGTGTCTTTGTCCTCCTGCTGGTACTTATGGATGAGAGCGGCTTAACTAACCTCATGTTCATGGATGTTGCAAAGCCACTCATACTTTTTCGTATTGCAGTAGTGTTCATTCTTTGCACCCAGCTTTGCAAGATAGCACTGATGCTTGCTCTTATGGTGCGACAGGGTACTGGATTGCAGGCTCCCGATCTTGTCCTGGACTAGGTCTATCTGCTCCTGGATATCTGACCTTGCCTTCTTTTTTGAGCTGCTCCTATTGTTCAGCAGCGAGGTCTCTGGGGTTGGAGAGATAAGGTAGTCCAATGACGGCATAGTATTGCATATTGTTAAAGAGGATGTAGACATGCTGCGGGCCATGTCTGACAGCCCTTTACATTGCGCCCCACAGCTTGATAGCTTGTGAGCACTGAATGCTGAATAACTGTTATATAAAGACATTGTGGGTTTGGTAGGAATTTTGGATGGTTGGAGGGTGGAGGGGTTAGGAGGAGGTGAGGGTGATGCATCGAAGTAGCATTTTGTCCCTGTGACCTGGGGAGGGCTACTGAGGGCACCAGTATTGTTAAGCATGATTTTGTCATCATTGAGATAGTCTGGTGCATTTTCAAGGAGGCATCAAGCAGGCCACTTCCAGTGTCAGGAGTGAAATCATCTAGGATAGTAATATTGGAGAAATTGTGCAGTCCAGGAAGGTGTATTTGAGGGAGTGTGAAGGGGGAAGCAGGAGTCTAAACTTAAAGGAGTTGTGGGTCAATAGGGTGATCACTATAAAACTGAGGATCTGATATATGTGCTTGAGTCTGAGGAGGCACATCATACGTGCCAGCGGAGGGTAGACCTACAGTGAGAGGCACATCATGGGCACTGGTGGATGGTGTAGCACTGAAATGTGTGGGAGAGGATGAAGCACCAAAGGATATAGAGGGACCAGTCCTGCCACATGATTGAACCAGTAAGTAAAAAGCACCTATGTGATCAATGCCAGGCTTAGATGAATAAGTCCTTGCAGCCAACAACAGATTAGAGTGCCAGATTCCATTGAGGTCTGTGTACCATGGGAACCCTGAAAGAACTAAGTCTACAAACATAATAAACCGATTAAAATAAGCCAAGAACCAAATAAAACAAAGGATGCATCCAGCAGATTTTTTGTAGTCATCCCATCAAGTGGCATCACGCTGGCACCTGTATCACTAAATCTAGCCTTCATCTTCTTGTACTTTGTTCTGAGACTTGAGGGATTTCATTAGCACATGTATGAATAAGAAAATAAGAAGAAAACTCACTTGTTAATATGATTGTTGATTGCATCACAGAATTTCTTCTGATTTTCCTGATATGTGTGACTATATTTGGGGTGATTGGTAAAGATGAGTTTAGTGATAACACTATTGATCTGGCCTTTGTCCGAGCCTGAGGGGCTGTCATTGACAGGGGACATCACCTTCTTCCCATTAGAATAGAAGACACCCTACAATCAGCAGGGTAAGACATTAGATAATTTACTAAGACATCTGTTAGGACAGTTTTGCTGTACCATTAGATAGTCAATCTTGGTCCAGATTTGGAGGAGACCTTGGATTAGTGGTATTCAAAGTTAGGTTAGAAGTTCGTACAATAGAGCCAAATGCCAGCATGGCATACATTTCAAACTCCGCCCTGCCTCTAACTGCCGTCCTGCCTATCAGCCAGCCATCAACGCTGTTGTTGCTGTCGACCTTGCTGGTGTTATCTGATTCCCAATCACCCTTTATTTGTCACTTTTTCTGCTCTTAGGGAACCATTTAGAAGATGGCACATGCTGCTAGAGGTTGAGCCAAAGGAAATTGTAGTCAAACACAATCCAGACAAGCAAAGGGGAAAGCTCCTACAAGTACAGTTGCACCAGCAGATGAAGATGATGGCCCACAACCTGAGATCAGTCCTGCTCCCAACACCACGAAGAAGCTGGCTATCTATTGGGAGGGGGCTTATAGTGCTTGCACCTCGTGGCTCATCGCCTGGTGAAAAACTAATAATGATGCACGCATAAAACTCTTCTCTAATTCTGTGAAGGATGCCAAAGACCAGGGGAGAAAGAAGAAGCAGAGCGGTGTAGAGACTGATATCTCTGTGGGCTTGCAGGGATCTAAAATCCCGTTGTCTCTATCACTTCCCAATATAGCGCGACTCATATCTCACCCAGCGCGCTCAAGTGCTTAGTCGGCCGCTTGCGCGCGCCAGTGCTCCGGTCGCTCATTAGTTGCGCTGTCATGCATGGTATGTGATTCATACCATGTCAGATATCTGATATATAGAGAGTGATAAGGAAGATATGAGAGACTGTCTAGCCCTCTGTCACTGAGTTACTTCTCCATTTTTCCTTTGATTCATTGTCTTGTATTTTATTTCTCACTTTTCAGACTTATTTTTAACTTGTATTTGTATCAAGCATGTGACCTTCTGTTTATTTCTAATACAATCCTCCCACTTGACTCTTGTCTCAAACCATGTGAGATCACTAAGACTTAAAGTGTGGGCCAATATAAGTGCCTTGAGGTAACATCTAAGATATCATTATCTACTCTAAGTTGTATACTACCTTACAGGGGTTGACTATATAACTTTCGTTATTGTTATTCTACTCTAGGTTATATACTACCTTACAGGGGTTGACTATATAACCATTGAACAGCTCTCATTCTAAGCTTTACGTGTATTCATAAGACTCTTTCTTTCAACGGAAAGTGAGACACATATCTAAGGACAACAAAGTTGAAACAGACTTTCATAGGTTGAAACACGACCTACTAGGCTGAAACAAACCTAATGAATTATCCAGAACACAGAACATTCCACAACACTTCATATAAGACTACACAAGAAGAGGACAACAAACTAAATTCTCCCAAGAACTCACCACGTTACCTCCCATGAAGTAGAAAAGTCGGAGACCATGGACTTAAGGACTGGCAAGAAGTCTTCACCGTGTATAATTGTGTTGTCATTATACACAACTTTCATATAAGACCCTTAAGTAACAAGACAGCGCGTCAGCGCACGCATCCTCAGTTCCATCGCACATCCTCTGTCCATCCATTCCATGTCCGTTCAGTTCATCGGTGCATATTCCGACTCTATTTTCATTGATTCTGACATATCTCTGGCACTTATGGCCATATTTCGTATTTTTTCCGTTATGGACCCTTATGACATATTATCTTGTGTCCGCTTTGCTTCTCAGTTCGCTTTAGCACTTGACAGCGCTTAACATTACTTAGTATATATAGACGCGCATAAACTGTATAATGACTATCTTTTTCTGCTCACACATCGTTGGACTATAAGTCTAAGTTGCCCTCTAAATCTAAAGTATCTAAGTACAATACGAGCGCCGCCGCCGTACATTACTAGAAACTCTGCCCATTAGTATTCTGACTCATTAAGAGTTGCTGCGCTCCACCACCCGCATGCGCATCGCTTCCGTTATAAGTCACACGCCATTATCTATCGTCGGCCGCTATCACTCATTGGCACTTCATGTCGCTTTCGCTCGCTCATCGTCGCGTGCCTTACCAGGCTTGACCAAGTGCCTGGTTCAGTGTTTCCCTCCGTTTTATACACTTAGAGGAACCTTCTCAGTAGCAATCCCCTTGGGCCGACGAATATCTCGCTCACTGAGGACTACTTGAGTTATCTCATACCACCTATATTCACCCACTTCCCATTCCTCTTCTACAGCGGTACTCTAAAGGAAACATACTACTCGCAGCTTGCAAATGCTATATTTTCAAATGATGAGGATCCTGAAGTACGGCGCCTCTTCCAGACAAAGCCTGGTGCTTTGATTAAGCCTGTCCAGACTCGGTTTGGAACGTGAGTATCTCCGAAATCTTCTTGTGTCTGTTGCGAATTACGAATCTATACTGTTTCGTTACTGATCAGATGCTTCAGGCTCAAAAGAAAATACAATGAATTCAACAAGTCTCTCAAGCAGACAGGCGCCGGATTGACATACGATGAACTACAGAAGAACCCACAGACCAAGACACTCATCGGTAGGTTGTTCTCGTGCGCATCTCTCAATTGTACTTTTATTTATTTATCTCCTGCAGATTTGCAACTGAACAAATTCCCATGGTGGCTGGATCTTCACGGTTGGTGGAGGACAAATCCTGCCTACAACACTGTATTCTCAACCGCTGACCTTGGGCAAAACCATGAATCCGCTGCATTACAACACTTCCGTATGCCTGACTGTGAGGACACACAACTCCCTGCCAATGAAAATGAACCAAAAGAGGATGCTGATATCGAAGACGGGGAAATTATCGACATGGGTGACATTGACACAAATGTCGACGCCTGTCAAGAAGATATTAACCCCATTGACACCACTGATGCAAATGCTGCAGGACAAGTAGATGATGATATTGAGATGGAACAGTCAGATTGGTTCATCCATGTGCAACAAGCACCAACTTTCCCCGGCTCTTCATCATCAACCCTCGGTTTTTTTCATGGTTCTACCTCTACAGGCTCATACACTTCCTTGCCGCATCTTCGCCCATCCATCGCTCCGATCTCAACATGTTATTTTGACCAAGATGCAATATCACTCAATTCACCAGAGCCTCCACCTGATGACCAATCTGACAGCCAATATTCTTTTTTTTCAAGCTTCAAGGAACCAACTTCCAACCACAACACCACACCACATGACTCTGACTCTGATATTAGCGCCAGCAATGCAATGAATCGTTTGTGGGTTGATTCACGTAAAGTGAGTCCTTGTCGAGGACATCCGGGATCACAAATCATGAAGCTATCTGGAGGAACTACTCGTAGCACATCACCTCAATCACCTCAAGCTACCTTGTCCCGTCCTCCATCACGTAAACGCGCCAACAACAATCAAGCTTTGACTACTGCTGCTGCCGAGTGGCTCTCTGAAACAGCGCAGGTGCTGATCCAGCAAGTTGGCGAAAAGCGTGATGGTCGTGTCAAGCATGATTGTTATAAGCGGATGAAACTTGAGAGTGACATGTGGGCTAAGGAACTCAAAGTGCGCAACGCTCATGATGAACGAGAACACACTTTGCGTCTTGCTGAGCAAGACCACTTACACAAACGTGAGCTCATGGGTCACCAACTGGAGGATGCAAGGCTTGAGCTTGAGCTCGCCTGTGCACGTCGAGAAGAGGAGGCAAGGATTTGGCATATTGCAATGGAGCGGGGCTTGCCAGACCAAGTTTGAGTATCGTGTTGTCATCTTCGTGCGTTGCTTGTTGCATGTCCTCTTGGTTTGTTACTTCACACATTATCTTTGTTGCGTTTCTGTTGATAATTAGATGTTGTTCGAGTACTGCCAGTGTTTTAATACACAAATTTCGCCGCTATGTCTACTGGAGCATGAGAAGTAAATGTGCCATTAAAGCATTATGAAAGTCTTGTCCCGCTGTCCCAATATAAGTCTCATCACCCTGCCCCACCTCATCCTCGTCCTCATCCACATTCAGATCCATCCTCTGCCCAGTCAACTCCTCGTAAAAATCGTTACCGGTACTTGCGATGCCGAGAGTCTCCTCAATCTCAATAATCAAGTTGTGTAAAATCAGACAACAGCGGATCCACATGTTGGAGTAATCCAGTTCTTTCTTGCCTTGGATCGGAAACCGAAGCTCTCATAAACTCTAGAATCTGCCCTTGATTGAACCGAAAAAGTGTTCAGACCGAACACGGACCTACAAATATGTAAGTGATGTTTTAAACTTGAGCAGAATGACATCCCAAAGCCATTCATCTGCAAGAGAATGATATTCCAAAGCCATTCATCCACAGGAGAACAATATTCCAAAGCCGTTCATCCGCAAGAGAACAATATTCCAAAGCCATTCATCTGCAAGAGGGGGTACTTACCTTAGAAAGGTGATAGTTAAACATTTTTTGATCCCTCGTCAACGCCCCCCCAGGGGGTCGTTTGAATGGTGTGACACACCATACTTGTGAAGCATACACAGAATCAGCCCACAGCCACTGGTTCGCACTGAAAAAATCATCTGGGTTTTGTGCGACCCTCGTTCGTCCAAAAATGTTCGAGTCATGAAGGCTACCAGGTACGCCAATCACATAGTCAACAATACAGAGATTGTGTGGGAGAATAACGACCTTTAGAAGGTGTAAGCTCATCTGATGAAATGAAAAAAATCAACATACCTGAGCGGTAAGAGAGTAGTTCAAATTTTTGTCAAAAAACCCTTCCCCATGTCACCCAGGCTTCTGAAATAGGTTGAAAGGAGTGCCATCAATGCAGAGGAAGCCACCGCGCCATTCCTGGCATGTCCTCCCCTCAACCCACTGTTGTGCCCTTTTCCGTTCCTCCTGATCTTCTCGGTCGAGCGGATCAAAATGGATCGCATTGCCGTGGTGCTTCAAAATTGCAATCATCACTCATTTGAAACAGTTGTACACGGTTCTGATGGACACTCCTGCCCATTCAGCCAAATCCTGCATTGTGGCAGCATTTCCATAATGGCCTATGCCATTGAGAAAAATTGCGAGTTGAATAGGAATAGGAAGCTGTGGGTTGTTTGAATTGTTGTAGAAGATTGCGTGTGGCTGGATATGTTCAATGAGTTTGTCGAAAACAGCAGGGGACACACGAAGCTTTCGCAAAAATTTATCGGGGGCATGCATACCCCATTCTGGCAGCAGGTGCAGTTGTGGGGCGCGGCTAAGTTTGGGTCTCGCCTTAAGAACACGGCTGGTCTCTACTTTGTCAGCCAAAGCATGAACAGCATCTATAAACTCCGTAAAGGCTCGACCGGCCATTTGTGGCCCATCTGATGAAAGCTGGGAGGAGTAGGCACTTGTGATTGTGATACCCGACATCAGGGAGTCCAAAGATGCATCCGACGACATCGAACAAACTGACATGCTGATGGATCCACCACTATCATTCGAGGAGGTGCTGTAACTGTCATCTTCAGAATCTGATTCTTCCAAAAGCTCATCAAGTGCATATTGCACAAGCTCGATGTAGCAAGCTAATATAAGGTCATCGTGTGTAGTTTTGAGGGCTCGTAGTTGTTGTTTTCAAAGCGATGTGCGAGGCATAGCGGTGGGCTGATCTTATCAGTGTAGTATGATGATGCGTAAGCAAAACAGAGTTAAAATTCGGAGTTTCAATAGTGTTTTGCAACTTTCCAAACACTTGTCTTTTCTTTATTATTCTAACTTTGAATACCACTATTGTCTCTCAGAGGAAGGTGTAGAGAGTGCTGGAGGATCTATTGAGTGCACTCAAGCATCAGCTCGAAGTCTTGCAGAATGACATGCACATTGATGAGTAGGAGGCATGGTGTTTCAAAGTCTGCCCTGTGGAACTTACCTGACTTTGAATTGATGTGCATGAAGCCAAGTTTATTGAAGGCTTTAGCCAGGAGTTTAAATTGTTTAAGTGGGTTTTGAAAAGTTCCAAAAGTTGAATTGAGTACCATTATTGTAATGGACCATTTGCATTGCAATAAAATTGATTTCTTGGAATACTGACCTTCTCTTACAAGCCCTTTCTATTATCTTAGCTACACTGCTATCTTACCTTTTATTTGGTTTCTATTACCCTATGCTTATTAGTTGGTTGTATTGTATTGTATTTGTACTAATATTACTAATTGTTTATTGATATTCTTATGTTTCAGTCCTGTTATGTTATGTTTGTTAGTTCACTATTATATTGTATTAGTCTGTACTTGGTGGAATTCAAACACTTGTCTATATAGTTGTTAGTTGGTTGGTTATTTTAAGCTTATGGTATACTTAGGACTCACTGTGGCAAAACTGTTAGACTAAAGGGTCTTTGTATATATGGAACCCTAATTCTATATGACACATGATCTTGGCTACCTATATGGAGTATTAATAAGTCAAGTCTAAGTCTAATCAAATGTTATAACACTTAGACTTCATGTATATGAGTTCAAACTGAGGTGACATGAAATTTAAGAGTAACATTATGAAATGAAATCTACTAATAGTATCCTAACAAGCATGAGTACTATGTTGAACACTTTGAGCTGCAGGCTTCTTTGTCCTATTAGTCTTTTCTCTACCTTGAACTGGTTTCTGTCTCACATCTGCATCCTGCCCTATAACTGTGGTAGTAGCCACTGGACCTACCATAACATCCTGAATAGAAACTTTGAAAGTGGCACTGAGAGTGGAGGTAGTACTAAGAGAGGAAACAGTGCTGAGAGCGGGTGTGAGGTAAACTAGAAGCTGTGCCTCGATGATGTCAGACTGAAAGACAGTAGCACCCTGCACCATTGAAGATGAGGTAGATATATCTGACTCGCTCATATTGAGTGTATTCATGGTACAAATGACTTCACTGGAGAGATCTTCTTGGCTAGCTGCAGAAGCAGAAGATTTTACAGAGCTGAAAATTTCTTGGTCAATGTTTTGCACAATGGTCTGGATGTGGCAGCTATCCTACTTCATGAGCAAGAGCTTCTTATAGTAAAAGAACAGGTCCTTGTAGTTGATATCAGAGGACTTTCCTAAGTCAGACTTCTGAAATTCTGTATTGGGTGATAGCAGAAAGATTGCCTGTGATAGTATTGACTAAGTGGGACCATTCAACATAATAGCATAGATGATGATGACTCATAATGACAGCTGCCCACATAATAGATCCTGGTGTGGTATGCTCAAAGTTCCACTTCTGGGGATTTGTCTTTGGTCCACCAGTTGTCCCTTGGTAAAGTGAAGTAACATCACATAGTGCAGCCTTCTGAATTTGTTTACAGATACATCAATATCACAATAGCACACTCATTGACTGAAAAAAATGTACCTTAGCCAAAAGTCCCCATTTCCAAAATACAGTGTTCAAGAATGCATCTTCTTGTATTCCAAGAAATAGAACCAGTGGAAAAGTTTTGTACTTCAGATTCATTGCTAACACGTCAAGCATGTTCTGTATTTCTGCAATGTTGGCTCTGTGGTAGTGGATATTGTTGAAGTATATTCCTAGAAGACCAAAGATATCACCTACAACACTATGTAGTTTATTGATCTCCAATGAGCAAGCCTTGGAGATGGGCTTCATTACCTGGTCATGAATATCAGTTCAAAAATTAGTATCAAAACACAGCTGTTGAATGGAGTTGGATTCGGAGGACATTACTTGCTGAGAAGTTTGGCATTGGGAAACATCTCAATAGTTATGTCATATTTATGAGTGTAATGTGTTATTGTTTGCTTGTGAGCCAGGAGTTCATTAGGTGCTCCTGCACAACATTTGAATTTCAGCTTCTCAGCAACAAGAACTTTGTTCTCCTTGTGAAGAGTGCAATTTTCCTTAACAATTTTCTGAACCTGGACCTGCAGTGTTTTAAGTGCATAGAGTAAGAGAAGAGTCAGATGGGTAATTTGAATTCAGTAGTCTAACATATGAAACTTACCTCCATGAGGTGTTAAGGTCGTAGGATCGTAGGATTGGATCCGAAGGACTTCAGCCTCAGCTCATATGCTATGCCCCTTTTCCAAGTACTGTCCCTTATTTCAAAGTACTAACAATAATGTGTCTGAAGGTCCGGACAGTATAGAAACTACAATACTGCGAGGCACGAACGAGGCTCCTGGCTGTATCTGTAAATGTTGTAGGGTCACGTGTTGCCTAGTCTGCTATACTTGTGACAACAAGTGCATTTGACCCTAAAGGAGAAGCAAGTACAGCAAGGATCTAGAAGTAGGCGCTGAAGCGAAGCACGAGAAAGAGCAGGTGCGTGCAAGGCACAAAGGCACGGGAATGCACGTGCGTGATGCGCGAAGCGCAGGAAAGTGCACGCAGGTATGCGGAAATGAGAGAGACTAAGCTTAAGTGATGATATAATGTAAGACAAGAGATGAGAGTGCAAAGTGTCAAGGAATAGATTTCTACTGCAACTTTCTAGGTAGTAAGTAGTAGGTAAAGTGAGAGGTGAAGTAAGGTAAGGTGAGGAGTGGTAAGGTGAGGTGTAGTAAGGTCATAGTATGTACTGCTGGCACTTATATGGTGCCTAAGCGCTGTCATGCGGAGCCGAAGTGCTACCGAAGTGCTACCGAGTAAGGTCTAGTATGTAAATATATATATAAGTAAGGGTCCATGATAAAAATAAAGGTGGAATGATATGCAAATAAGGGAAATGGAAATACACGCACTAGAGAGCTTGGTGGACAGTGGATGGATGCTCCCAGATGGCTGGCGCTATAGGGCGATCAAGCGCGGGAAAGCGTGCGCACATATACATCGTGAAGCGTGGGAAGTGTGTGTGGGAAAGCTGCGCCTCATATAGAGATAGCTGCACGTAGTGCACAGAGTGACACTACAAGTTTGTACTATGTACTCCCTAGTGAAAACTGCCATATCAGGCCATAAGAGGCATGAGTCTCTACAACGGGTCTCGTAGGTATATCTGGATGACTTCTGGATATCAGAAATGCATATAAGACTAATGCGGATGGATCCAGACTAGAAATGAACAGAGTATAGACTATCCAAAGATAGAGTCAGAAACATAGACTATCGGAATCGATCTGAAGTCTCGGAGGTTGACAAGAGTTGAAGACTCAAGTCCAGAGGATGGAAAGAGGACAAACTAAGATGATATTCGAACTGAGGTACTACAGGACATATATACAGGCTTATATACTAAGAGGATAACGAAACAATAAGTAAGCAAAGGTCCGAGGCTATGTATGAAGCATGTGCAAAGGTTATCAAATGTGAGTTGGAAATGAAGCATAGGTTAATGGATCAGTAATCATACCGGTAATAAGTATAACCGAAACACTGGGAAGAGGAAATACTGAATAGGCTGTGTTTAATATTAAATGAACAGGAAATGAAATAGGAAGCTTATCGGATATCAGATCAGAAGCAGATCTATGCATCGGACCGGACCGGATCTCAGGGTCTAAAGTCCAGAAGAGAAGTGTGAATATATGGGATATGACATGAGGTCTCCTTTCAAGGCATTTGGCCCTGGAATTGTGACAGATTTAATGATGAGCTCTGCATCCTATTCATCATCTGAGTTAGATGTGTTTTGAGAGAAATGAAACATAATGCTAAATGGATGTCAGGAGACAAGAAAATAATCAGCATGATAGTGCAGTATAGAAGGTAAAATACTTTGTGCATGCTGCAGCTGAAGTTGTAGCAATGTATCAGTGTGAAGAAAATGTGCAACTATTATGTATTACTAAGGGCAATGATATCCTGAACCTGACCTTACAATGTATGAAATCAGCACTATGAAGTAATAATAATCAGCATGTAATGTTTAAATTATATGCTGGTATCTTATGTTTCATAGGCCCCTAGTTCAACACTTAGATCCCAGTTGATGGGTATCTAGTATGAGAATAGGATAGCCTGCTATAATGCTCAGAATAGGGTAGGTAAAACCATTGTTTGGGTGGGCTCACCTAAAGCAGTAGATCTGCAGATGCTACAGCCATGCAATAGCATGCAAGATTGCCTTGAGCCTTGAGCCAGCTAGATTGGAACAAATGCAGAGTTAGCTTCTTAAGAAGGCTGGTATAGAAGGTGTTTAAGAGCAAGAGGTGAGAAAAATGAGGCATGGCTCAAGGCCTCCAGCAGTTTGTGGAAGGCATGTGTCCAGAGGTAATGATGATATTGCACTTGCTTGGCATTATCTAGAGCAAAGCCAGAATACTCAATGCAAGGAAGATCATTTTTATTAGATCTTGGCAAGTCTGTGCACATTCCATCAATATTATAATAAAAACTGGAGAACTACTTACTGTTTATGGTCTGAGATTAGATTTGTCCATTTTTGCTGCTGGAGGTGAGTCTTTGTTGCTAACTTCATGTTCTTGTCCTTGGAGAACAATATGACTCTAAGCTGAATGGCAAACACATTACTGCTTGCATCCTTGCAATGCTTGCTATTAAATAATATGGACAATGCAGATAAAAGAGTGGAACTCAATGTCAATGAATGAGTATATGAGAAAGTCAAGGACATAGGGTTAAAAGTACAATACTATCCTCCACACCCACTATCATTCTATCTCTGCCCTGCTCATAGTGAATGATAATATGTGCGTCTGTATTCACTTGGAGAGGTGTAGGTCCTAGGACTATATCTGAGACTATATCTATAGCACAGCATGGACAGTGAATGAGAGTCATTGATTGTGAAGGCTGGTGTACATAGGGTGTTAAAGTAGGAGAGCTGCACTATCATTAGTGTCTGACATATTGATAATAGTCAATAACATGTATTATAAATTAAGAGATCTCTAGTGGGAGTGAAAGAATTAGTCAGATGAGGTTCAAACAAAGAGCCTGAGGTGTCCATCATGCAGGCCAATAAGACATATGATTATTATTAAGGCAAATAGTTGTATTACATGTATTCAGTATAGAAACAACTATTCAGATGATGGTATACTGAACTATGTGTTGGGTCTGCTTGCCTAAGCTGCTATGCTTGTAGTGACAAGTGCATTCAACCCTAAAGGGGAAGCAAGTGCAGCAGAGATCTAGAGATTGGTGTGAAGGGTGCTGCATGTTGGCCGACATAAAGCGCGAGCACAAGAACGAAGCACTTAGGGTGGCCGATGTGCAAGAAGGTAGAATGCACAGGAAGGTAGTACACACTTGGCACTTGGCACAAGAGAGTTTTGCTTCACATAGGAAATGATTGGAAAGGTATTAGCATAAGTTGTGCATCAAACTGTACTTTGAGACAGGTCGCATATATAGCTTCTGCAAGGCCACAGAGATATCAGTCTCTACATCGGGCATCTTAGACTTACTAATACAGCCAGTGGATCAAACACACACAAGGTGCCCTGCCTCCAGATGTATCATCTTCATGCAAAGAAACATGTCAGTATCTGCAGTATCAACTACAAGATAATCAAGAGGTTCATCTAATACCAGCAGGGCCTCATGTATGAACAATCTAACAAAAAAAACTGTGCCTGCACTTGTGGTCTTGCCTGAACTCTGAAAAGATTAAGATTCTTGTCCTCTCAAGTGCACAAACCAGTGGGAACATGAAAGAGGTGAATAAGAGCTAGAGAAAACTTGCAATTCCCACCCAGATATTTGAAACAGAAGATCAGCCAGCCAAGAATGACTTTGTTTTCTGTCAGCCCAATAAAGATGTAGTCAAAGTGTAGGGAACCAAAGAAAAGAGGGCTGCAATGAAGATAGTCTGTATGCTGATGCCAATTGACTATGGATTCATAGTTAATGTGAATAAAGCAATACTCTGTGATCTCTGTGTATGTCAGCATAGCAAAAAATGAACTAAGATTAACATACCTCATTAGTTCCTCAGAGATGAATATTATTTGCCTTCAGGCAGTGATATGCTCAATGAGGGTAAAAGAACAATCAGAAAATCATTGAGCTTGACACAAAAATTACTGAAGGCCTAGTTGTCCTGATGAGCCATCTCAATCACATCAAAGGTCAGTAAGTATTGCTTTGATCCAAGTTTCACATGAAAAAGTGGCTTGTTGAGATTGGGCAATTAATGACACTGGTAAGGGAGTCTTCTTCCTCTAATTGGTGTTAATGATCATTGAATTCAAATAAGCAGTAATGTATATGATCTGCAACTACCTGCTATATATTAATACAGAGGATCTGTCAAAGCTGAATCATGCTATTAGTTATAGTAGATAGTTTTCTTAAAATCAAAATGCACCTGTTCTGTTATGTTATGAAAGTTCATGCACAGCAAATATGAGTCCTTTAATGAGCTATGTATCTTCTTATTTGGCTTAGTGTTGTAATTTTGTATTGCTCCTTTTGCCTTAATATTGTCAAAGATATGTAAGTCTATGTATAACTTCAGAAAATTCCAGTTCTTGTTGCTCTCAACTGTTTTGTTAATATATCGCTAATAGTGATTAGTCATTTATTGGTAACATTAAATAGCATATGAGACATACCTGCAGAAGAGCTGAAAATGCACAGTTGGCTACTGCTAATAGTTTCTGTAGTGTGAATTTTGAGTAAGGTGTACATATCAAAGTCATACGCAATGAAGGAGCAAGTAACTAAGAGCATAGTCTGTCTCTGTCAATATATTGTGGATCACATATATTATCATCTAGTAGTAATTTGTTAGACTTGAGGTAGCACAAAAAATTTAAACAACAAACCTTTTGAAATATCTTTATGCATAGAGTTGTCTGTAAACAAAATATTCATGACTTGGTTCAGATGTTTCTGGTCTCACCAGCAGAGAAATGCTTGATAGCTGTGTTAATCCATGTCAATCCAAGTCAAAATAAGTCATTAGAGAAAAAGACCTTACTCCTTGTCTACTTGAGATACCTTCTCTCATCTGAGACCACCAATATACTTCTGAAGCTCAATCCATAAGTGATTGAACCATAGACTACCAGAGTGAAAGTGTAATTTGTCCTAAGACAATGTATGATGTATGTCTGTAGAGGACACTGTCCAAAATAAATTCTAAGACAATATTAAGACAACATAGCAGGAGAGTGAAGATAAGCTCACTGAGACATCATGAAGTTTATATTCTTTTAGTACCTCCTCCCTCTCTTCTGTGGTCTCCATTTCTTGTACAGCTGCTAGGATATCCTATAAGTCATGAGATGTGCAATATGGATAACAGTGCAAAATATCAGAAAGTTAATCATGGGGAGTGAGACAGATTGGACATGGCCACAGGACTCTAACACCATGAGTCAGTGTCATTGTTGACCTTGAAACAGAGTGAGTTAGTAAGACATCAATCCAAAAGTTTGAAGCTCACTATTCCTTGAAATCTGAAAATAAAATGAGTATTAAGGGAAAACACCAGCACTAGATGTTATCTAAACACTCCAACTATTGACTAGTTTTCGATTTGACAGCTGGCAAAGACAGTATCCTTTCAAAGGACTTGTGCCATATTGTATGTAGCCTTGAAGTTAGCTTATGCTAGTGTAGATGAGGAATGTAAAGGGTAGGTAAATGTGTGGTATGAGATCAACTCAAGTAGTCCTCTGTGTACGAGCTAATGTTGGCCCAAGGGGATTGCTATTGAGAAGGTTCCTCTAAGTATATAAATGGAGGAAAAACACTGAACCGGGTGCCTAGTCAAGCCTGGTAAGGTGTATGATGATGAGTGAAGTGCAAAAGAGTGAGAGCACTGTGAAGCGCTATTGAACGATGCAGGCCAATGGCACATGCTGAGCAAATGTGACACGCACATGCGGGTGGTGAAGTGAAGCGACTCTTTTACAAGTTGAAGGATAGACAAACAGAGGTTCTAGTAGAATATAATAGTGAGTGCTCATGTATAATTGAGACACTTAGCATTGCTGTCTTGTCACTTAAGGGTCTTATATAAAAGTTGTGTATAATGACAACACAATTATACACGGTGAAGACTTCTTGCCAGTCCTTAAGTCCATGATCTCTGACTTTTCTACTTCGTGGGAGGTAATGTGGTGAGTTCTTGGGAGAATTTAGTTTGTTGTCCTCTTCTTTTGTAGTCTTATATGAAGTGTTGTGGAATGTTCTGTGTTCTGGATAATTCATTAGGTTTGTTTCAGCCTAGTAGGTCGTGTTTCAACCTATGAAAGTCTGTTTCAACTTTGTTGTCCTTAGATATGTGTCTCACTTTCCGTTGAAAGAAAGAGTCTTATGAATACATGTAAAGCTTAGAGTGAGAGCTGTTCAATGGTTATATAGTCAACTCCTGTAAGGCAGTATATAACCTAGAGTAAGAAAACAATAATGAAAGTTATATAGTCAACCCCTGTAAGGTAGTATATAATTTTAGAGTAGATGATGATATCTTAGATGTTACCTCAAGGCACTTATATTGGCCCACACTTTAAGTCTTAGTGATCTCACATGGTTTGAGACAAGAGTCAAGTGGGAGGATTGTATTTCATGGGTGAAAATAAGGTCCTTTTATACCTTTTGGGAACCCCCTTACTAAGCATGATTAATCAGATGGATTGGTAAGAATGTGGCTTACAAACCAGGTGATGAATCAGCTTATTACTAAGTACATTACAAATACAGTGTAATCTTACAAAGAAATTACAAACCATAACAAAGCATGACCAATCATGACTAAACATGTTGAGTCAGCTTAAATAATGTTACAAACCAGAATATTTCCCAGTTACATGATGTGATGACAAATAAAATCTGGTGGCTGAAAGAAGCCAAATAAAAATAAACAGTCAGAAATAAATAGATACAAAACTTGGTGGCTGAAAGAAGCCAAATAAAAATAAATAATGAAAAATAAGCAGAAGGTCACATGCTTGATACAAATACAAGGTAAAATAAGCCTGAAAAGTGAGAAATAAAATACAAGACAATGAAATAAAGGAAAAATAGAGAGGTAACTCAGTGACAGAGGGCCAGACAGTCTCTCGTATCTTCCTTATCTCTCTCTATATATATCTGACATGGTATAAATCATATACCATGCATGACATTGGTCAGTAGATATGACAGAGACTTAGACTTAGAGTTTGACAGTGTGTGGGAAGAAAGATGGTCATTATACAGTGAGGCAGGAGTATATATATTCCATCTATTTAGCATTAAGTGCTATCAAATGCTAAAGTGAACTGGGAAGTGAAGCGAGTACATGATAACATGTAATATAAGGGTCCATGACAAAACATATGGAATATGTGCACAAGCACCGGAGATATGTCAGAATACACAGAATTATGATAGGCCGATGAACCAAACAGACATGGAATGGATGGACAGAGGACGAGTGACAGAACCGAGGATGCGTGTCTGAAGCGCTTGTGCATGCTAGCAGCCGACAGAGCGCCAAGTGCGCTGGGATAAGATATGAGTTGCACTATACTAGGAAGGTGATTGGAACATTGGGGATTTAGATCTCTATGAGACAACAGAGATATCAGTCTCCACACCCACTTGCCAGCATCTTGTTTGTCTTCCTTGACCTATATGAATAAAATAAGTATGAAGCAATGCACATGACATACAATATATCATACCACAGGAAGCCACCCAATGATGTGTAACCACCATCCATTCCTTGATTATCACGAATGTAGGTGGGTAAGTTTGCTAATCATACAACAACAGGATAACCTTTTGCAGTACAAAAACTGGATAGTTTTGTCTTGTTAGCATACAATACAGTGGCTCAAAAAAGTGTCTCAATGTTTGTAACTTTTCATGTAATTGCTTTATTATGAGCCAGGGTGTGGGAATATGACTAAACTGTAGGGAGGTGTCATAAAGCTATACTTCTTAGCCTTATTGAAGTTCCCTATAGCGTGGGAAGATGATGTCATCATGTGCATATATGGCTATTTTAATTTGGTGACTCATTGAGACACTTTTTTGACTTTCAGTTTGATCAACACAATCTCTATAATTATGATACTTCATGTGACCTCCTGTTGCTCTAATCACTTCTGCCACTCTTCTAGACATGCTATCTATTAATTTTGAGTATTTCTTCTTAGCACTCCTTTCTCACTCTGCTGCAACTCTGTTCTACAGCTGAAATAGCCCCTATGATGAATTTTGATAGGCTGCAAGCAATTTCTTGAATATTTTTCAGAGATATTCAATAGGGCTGATGTATAGGGACTATGCTAGACATGATAGAACATTTATATCATGGTCTTTGAGCTGCTAGTGACTAACTTATACATATACTTAGGATCATTTTTTATTGCAACATAGTATCTTCCTCATTAATCTATGATTTCTGTATGCTTCTTAACAGACTCTCATCTAAAATAGAGATGTACCACTTGGTATTAGTCCTTTACTTCACTTCACACAGAGAATATACACTCTATTACATCTCATGCAATCCTATACCTCTACGTTTGTTACTCTACACTTAAGAGTTTATACGATTCTTTTTCTTTTAGTAGTTCACCTGTCTTTTTACAGATGTATTCCCGGCCATCTAACCTCATCATATTTATCTTGGTCTGATCTTATAATATAGTCCTCTTCCAGTCCTCTTTCAGTCTAGTACTGGTGCTTTAAAGCTAAAGTTTACTTCCTCTTCTATAGGCTAGGGATAGGAGAGTCCTCTTCTTGATTGTAGCTTTAATATTTGTTGCCTTGCAAGTATTATTGATGGTTTGAGTGGAGACAGAGCTGGATATATGGAATTGATGAATTAGGTGACCTGAGTAGCATTAGCAGCCTGCCCAGTCAGAATATGGTAAATGTGAGATCTTCATTCATGTGAGGTAAGCTTTCAATTTAGTCACTAGCAGCTCAAAGACCATGATATAAATGTTCTATCATGTCTAGAATAGTCCCTATACATCAGCCCTATTGAATATCTCTGAAAAATATTCAAGAAATTGCTTGCAGCCTATCAAAATTCATCATAGGGGCTATTTCAGCTGTAGAACAGAGTTGCAGCAGAGTGAGAAAGGAGTGCTAAGAAGAAATACTCAAAATTAATAGATAGCATGTCTAGAAGAGTGGCAGAAGTGATTAGAGCAACAGGAGGTCACATGAAGTATCATAATTATAGAGATTGTGTTGATCAAACTGAAAGTCAAAAAAGTGTCTCAATGAGTCACCAAATTAAAATAGCCATATATGCACATGATGACATCATCTTCCCACGCTATAGGGAACTTCAATAAGGCTAAGAAGTATAGCTTTATGACACCTCCCTACAGTTTAGTCATATTCCCACACCCTGGCTCATAATAAAGCAATTACATGAAAAGTTACAAACATTGAGACACTTTTTTGAGCCACTGTATAAAGGCAAGGGGCTTAGCACCATGTGGCAGCTGTGACTATGTATTACATTGAAATGCGATCAAAATTACTATACAACATATGAATGGTACATACTTGAGCATTGTCATATCCCGTGTTCCAGGACCCAGACCTATCACACACATCATTTCCGGATCCAGGTGACTTCTGTCTGTTGTCCGGATCTGACCTGTGTCTATCTTCCATGCCTTATCCCTTTGTACGTTCCTTCTCATGTTAGACCATACTCATTTTCTGTACCTCATTTCATTTCCACCTTTATTTCCCTATGTTCTCATTTCTGTCTTCATTTACTATTTTCCAATAGACTAGTGTTAGACTTTTCTATATGCTCTGTCCACAGCCTCGCATAGCTTTGGACTGCACTGAGTGATTCTCTGTTAAGTCCTCAGTAGTATATCAACCCTGTAGAATCTTTGTACTTCCTCAGTTTGAATATTATCTTAGACTCTACTCATTCCCTCCTCCGTCCGACTTGAGTTCTCCTCTCGTTGTCCTCCGCTAGTCTTAGGATTGATTCCTATGGACTTGTCACCTCCGCCTCTACCTCTGGTAGTCCTCTGCTGTTTCCTTTCTAGTTCGGACATCATCCAGATTAGTCTTATCACTTGTTCCTGAACATCTGCCAGAATTCCACGCATCAGACATTGTTCAACAGCCTTTGGAAGTTAGGGGCGCAGCACATGAGCTGAAGCCAAACCCTTCAGATTTGACCCTTGAGCACGTTCTTAACAGTATATTCGAACTCACATCTTACTGAGTATACTTACATCTGATTTCATGGCACCAACATGGGCGCAGACTGTTCTCAATGGGGCAGGTTTAGTAACCACCCGACATGATCCTACTCCCATAGTTGATGCATTCCTCAGTTTCTTGCAGTGCCATGCCAGTGCGCAAGGCCCTGCCTCCAGCATCTCACAACTCATGAATCACCCACATCCATCTACCCCCACACCTATGCCCACCAGAAATCTTCCAAACAACGATTCTAACAATAAAAATCCTCTAGGCGGAAACCCACCTGGAGATGGTGGTGGAGATCTGGATGATGAGCCTCCAGAAGAGCCGACCAATGATGAACACGAAGGTCTAGGTCCGCAGGACTTGGTCTTCCTCCATCTATCCAAAGCTGCTCTCGATAACCTGGTGCATAACAACCACCAATCATCCTCCTCCGGCAACTCTAAAGGCAAAGTCCGAGAACCAGATACCTTCAATAGCACTGAGCCCTGGAAGCTCCGGATGTTCTTTGTCCAATGTGAGCTTAACTTTCAAGCTAAGCCAAAATCTTTCTGTACTGGCTGGACCAAGGTCAATTTCGTGCAATCATACCTCAAGGGCATGGCCCTTGAATGGTTTGAGCCGGACCTCCTTTTGGATGATCTAGCAGATCATGAACTTCAAACTAACTTCAGACCTCATGACCCAGTCGGCAATGCAGAAATGCAGCTGGAACAGCTTTATGTACGCGACGGACAGCGCATCAACAAGTATGTTGTAGAGCTCCAATGGCTAGCTTCCCAAGTCCGAGGTTGGGGCGACAAAGCTTTGTGTCATCAGTTCTACAACGAACTTCTGGCTTGCCTTAAGGACGAAATCAGTTGTCAAGAGAAACCCACTACACTTCCCGAATACAAAACTCTCACCCAGACTATCGACACTCGATACTGGGAATGCAAGGGAGAAGTCTCCTGTGAAACCAAACCCTCCACATCCACCCCTCCTGTTAAGCAATCAGTTTCCACCTCCAACCGGAAAGAATACTCTGGCAGAAAATCAGGAACTGCTTTGGCTTCCTCCTCCGCCAAACTTCCAGACTTGATGTTCAAGCTCGGAAAAGACGGTAAACTCACCTCTGAGGAGCGCCAGAAGCACATGGAGAAGAAGCTTTGCCTCTTCTGTGGCAGACCCAGTCATACTGCCCAGGACTGCCT